ACAGCCACTCTGTAGCCTTTCATTCTGGGTACTCCCAACAGGCACCACTCCACATCCAGCTCCCTTTCTGCTGAGCTGGGACCTTACTGAAGCCTGTCAGCTGGGTATTAGGATACCATTTTGCTGCAGAAGAGGGTGCAGGGCAGTGCTGCCAGGCCTTCAGGAGCCATACATATCATCATAGTGATCTGCCGAGCAAACTGGAGAAGGCAACACCCTCCTGTCTCTGCACTCCCCGACACATCTGTTCAGACTGCAGGCTCTCTCCGTGCCCACGTCTCTGCCAAGATCTGTTGCCGGAGCTTTCAGAAGGGTCTGCTTAGTCCCATTTTGCTAAAAAAGACCAAAAAGCTTTTTTCAAAAAAAATAGATTACTTTTTTTTTTTTCTCCCCCAACCAGAAGCAGCTCCAAATGTCTAGCGGCCAGGCAGCATTGTTTGCAACCAGCTCTTCCCACTGCTGCTCTGGCAGTCCTGCCCCCTCGGAGGGGGTCTGTCTGACCCTGTCTTCCTCCAAGGTTATAACACATCCAGAAGCAAAAAATACATAAAACCCAAACCCCCAAATTCCACCCGCCATGACATATAAACACGATTGTAAGGAAAGCGATAAGCGTGGGCTGGCGCAGGTTTTCACTGAGCACGCAGTTATGTATGCTGACAAAGTGAAGATGGGGGCTGTATGTCTTTGCAGTAACTGCAGCGGCTGTAAAGCTGCCTGCCATGAAACGCCCACCCTGTTAAATGGCAGGCAGAGCGCTGCCAGTGTACCTGTGGCTGAGGGTGCTACAGAGATAGTATAGAGGTAAACGAAAAAAAGAATTTATAAAGCAGTGGTAGATGATTTTCAAAGGCTGTTGATTGCGGTTAGAAATAAGCTTCATAATCATTTGGAAGAGTTATTGCAGGGAACAGTGCAGAACTCTGGTCATGTCTTCAAAAATAAATAATCTGAATTGGTTAAATAAAATCAAGGCATAAGAAGACAATTTACTGTGAATTGCTAAAAGCCTAGGGATTAGTCAAAGATAACTCTTGTTTACCAGATGTGTTTAACAGAACAAGAGTGCTTGCAGAAGACTGTTTTGTGGTATACTAACTGTGTATCTTATTGCAAAAATTGAATACGGAGATTCTATTAAGAAATAAGAACTGTCCACAATACAAACTGTCAGCTTTGCCAAGTGAAACTAAAACAGGTTGCCACTTCTGAAACCAAGCAGTCGTTTCCAATATGAACCAATGCACGATCTGAGCTTTTCTCAATATTATTTTCTGAAATCCAAAGCAGGGAAAATAATCTCAGCTCTAGGCTTGACGAGACTGAAGGCACGCACCAGCTCAACCAGCTGATCTAGTTCCACGGAGCAAGTCCTAGCGCAAAAGCCTGACCTGTGCAATTAGTTGAAGGATGGTGGTGGGTTGGAAAGCAGTGGGAGACGGAGCCCGACCTCTTCCCACCGTCACAGCCAACTTGCTGGGTGAGCCTGGGTGCAACAGGGACAAGAGAGCTCTCAATGCCCGTTTCCCACCCCATTATTTGTCCTGCCCAGTTCAGTGATGCTCTCGGAAACAGCAAGTGCCCTTCCCTACTGCAGCACCTATGCCAGCGGAGAGCCTGCCATGGCCATGACAGGGAGGTCTTACTCCCATAAAAATGTGCTACATTCACCTAAGCCTCATATCACTGCCAAAGCTCACAGTGGTTGGACTCCAAAGACTGAAATTACCTCAGCATACATTTTTTGTGGGTAGGTTGAGACTCAGAAGAGTAACAAAGACAACCAGGTATCAGCCCATAGTCAGAAACATCTTGCTTTTCCCAGCACTCAAGCCTAGACACATTGTTTTCCTCCTACTGAGTGCTCCTTTCCTCTGCCAGGACTCACATTGCAAATGCGGTGCAATGTGAAGCACTGCACCTGCGGTGCAGGGAAGCACTGAGCAGCAGGAACAGAGCTGATGGAGCTGGAGGGTAGCACACGCAGAGCACAACTTCACACTGCAATTGCTCACCCTTGTTTTGGCCACCCACAGGCAAGCAATACCAAGACTATAACACAACCAAAAGCAACAATAAAACGCATAAAATGAAAACAGAAGATTTGTACTCCTGTTCTGCACACATACAAGAACACTAGGAAAAAACCCACTGGTATGTGCAAACTCTTCTCACATAAATGAAGCTCCCCGTGATCTCAAAGCCATGCACTCATTTGCAGGCCTGGAAGTTTAAGTGGTTGAGCACTTCATTGAGGTGATAGAAAGCCCTTTTTATTCTTAACCAGCAGATATCCAGAGAGCTAACTCATAGACATAAAGCAAATCTACTTAGGGAATAAATGTCTAAATAAAGATGAGAGATGGGATGCTGATCTTTTAATGTTCCTCTGCAGGGTAAAGAAAATTATGAGGTTTTTTCACTTCAATTCATTTATGGTATTCGTGTGTTATTGCAAGATAAAAAAGCCCAGCATGCCTAGCTCACTAGGTCTTTCCCTCTGTCCTGGAGTGAGAGGCTACCCAGCTAAGCTGAACACTAATGAGAAGGCAGGCGGGCACACAATGCCATGGTACTCACCAGCAAGGCATACAGAAAACCCAGGAGTGTGTCAGCTGCGTACCTGAAGTCCATTTAGTGGCGAAAGATGGCAATTATTGCAACAAGACTAAGGAAAATTGGAGCAAGTTGGAGAAGCATCACCTTGCACAAGTTCACCGTATTTAAGTCTGAGAGAGACAAATAGCCTTTCTTTTAGTTATCTCCAATCTGCCACCTTCATTTGGCCATTAAAAATATTTTTAAAATGATAAGACAAGTAATACTGCCTAACTAATGAATGTCGAATTATCGGTGTAAATATGCCAACATTTAATTATTTGCGTCCCAAAGAACATGTTCTCCTCTGTTTGGTTTTCTGTTTTAATGACTACAATTTATCATATTAACTAGACTTCCAGTTTGCTGGGGTTTGTTTCAAGTTCTGCTTTTTGCTGAGACATCTGCGAGAGGGCAGACACAGGTAAGAGAAGTAATAAAACTAATAAAAAAGTGATAGTAGCTGTCACCAAAAAGCACAAGTGACCGAACCACCTTCATTTACTACACAGGCCCCTTCATTCTTGCTTTCTATTGCTGATTTTACTGCTCACTTTCCACTAATATTTTACTCTACTTATGGCAGCTCTCTGCAAGTAATGTTAACTCCCTAATTTCCAAATAATTTGCTTTTCCTACCTACTAGCAGGCAGTGTAAGAAGGAAGGAAAGCCGAAGTGGAAGAACCATCCATGATGAATTCAAGCCATGCATGATGGCACAGCCAAGGGTTTCAGGAGGCATTGGAAACCCTGGCAATGCTTGAATCAGTGCAGGGACCCTGCCTGTGCAGGAAGTATCTATCTGCCGTCTGTCTAACATGGTGGGAAACATTAGTCCAGCTGCACCAAGGCTGTATCTATTTCACAGTACAAGCATATGTGTTTTCCCCACCTGTCACAACTGTGAAATGTATAGATAGCATTTACTTCCTAGGCATTCGTCGCTCAAATTAACAGGCAACCTGTTAGTCTGAGTGCAATTAGCACCCCAAACTTTACTCCAGACATATCTGGTTGCTCAGTTTTGCTTGCAGATCTTTTAGCAGCCTGGTGTATGCTTTGAGTAAATATAGGCCAAAGTATAGAGTGGAAATCCTGTGAAATCCCCAACAAATTTAACATGAAGCAAAGCTAAACACACTGTTGGACAATCTGCTTTGCCTTTGTTAGAACTTGTAATCGAAAGTTCACATTTTTACAAACTAAATTGAGCACTAGGTTCACCCAAGACCTGGTAAACCGAATGACTGAGTGTAACACAACCTGCTGGGGCTGACTCCTGCTGCCCTCTTCCTGCTGCCGGATTTAAACTTCACTGCTCCCGCTACGTGCTTTTTATAAAAATGCTAGTTACATACAGACACTCATCTTGAAACGTGACATTAGTGTTTTGCAGAAATATATGTGAGCGATGCCATATGATGCAAGCACTGTAAACCCTTATCTGTGTCATGGCTCGACTTCTTCTCTTGGAGAGTACGACCAGCAGAGCGTGCAACCACCCTGCCATGGGCTGCCATTTCTACCACAGTCCTCACACCTACATACCAGTTTCTTCCATATTGGAGCCACATCATCTGCAGCATCCTCAGATGCCCATCTGAGTACACTGGATCACTCCTTTACTGGAATATTTCTTCAAACACAATTAGTTTTGGAATGCCAAATAATGGTGGGCTTAAATTCTTTTAATTCTGCATTCAACTTTCCCTCCTTGTGGTTGCTAGCACGTTAACAGGGAATGCACAAATCACACTGAAATGATCCTTCACAAACCCAAAAGCATGATATCACTCAAAATCTAGACTAAGGCGGGCTGAGGGAGCACACACCCCGGACTCCACGGTGGCAGGACAGGCTTCATCTATCACAGACTACCCCTGGATGCTGGAGATTCAGTTAGGCTTATAACTCCAGTCTCATACATACAAAGCGTTTTATGTTCGTTCCATAATCAACTTTTCTTTTCTTAAATGCCCCACAAATGTTGCCCAGAGTTCTCCCCTAGCTTAGTCTACCAATCAGTCACTTTATTAAGATTAGCTTCTCCAAGCTTCCAGTGCTTATCTGCCCAATTCTCTGACCTTCCTAAACCCTACCCTACTTGCTCCATACCTGCTGGCAACACATACTGATAGAGACCCGCAAGGTGTCACCTTCCTGCGTAGTGACATGGCTTTCTCCTCCGAGTCCTGGACAAATCTAAACGACGCATACTCAGTGCATCTGTCACAGCAATGCCATTGGTCTTGTTCTCTGCACATCTGTGACATTTTGTTATATTACATAATATTATGTTGCAGTGGAGCTGGTGGGCAAGAGACTTGCCCTTCTCCAGCCCAGCTCCCATAGATACTCCCCTAAACACAGAAGACGGAGGGAAGGAAAAAAGATTGCTTACTCGCAGGAAGGAGAGGTCTCGGTTGTGCTCAATGCTGGTGATTTCCAGGTTGCCCATAACTACCTCACAGTTCTCATAGTACTTGCGCAGGGCCCGATACTGCTGTTCCAGGTCAGAGAGGGAGCTCAGCTTGTTCTCGGTGCCAGCACACACTGCAAGAAACCACAGGACAAACAATCAGGAGTGTGGAAGAGGATCACAGGAGCAGAGAAGGAAATGCAGTCTGTATACAGGGATACAGGTAATTGTAACAAAAATCCTGAATTATTCATGTGATTGGGTCCTGCAAAAAAAACCCCAGCATAAGTTACTTGAATATCAGCAATAGAGATAGGAATGTACAAATATGGTCCGTGATCATCTCAGCAACTGAAACATGTCTCACCAAACGGGATGAAGTGCTGGTATTTACTACCAAATACAGAAATGCTGAAAACACAGAAATGCAGGAAAAATGCAAAACTAGTTGATCCCAGCACCTAAAGGACCAAACTCAGGTATCAGCAAAAATCCTACTAGTTTGTCCAGTGACAGAATTGGACACTGAACACATATATGCCACTCACAGACTAAAAGACATAAGGCTAGAGAGACCCGTGCACCCAGGGTGATCTGGGTAATCCAACACTTTCCTTATTCAGCTGATACTCAGAAGGGTCTGTTGGACAAGCCAAGAGCAACCTGATCGGAAGGCTTACAGCCAACACTGTCTTCCCCATCACTTTCCTTAAGACCCCAGCTCTTCCCAGCTTGACGCAATTAAACAGGAGAAAGACGATAGCAAAAAACACATCATCTTTCCACAAGTTACCAGACTGAACGTAGAGATGTGTCAGAAGAGTTGGGAAACACCATCCTAATACAGTTAGTTTCCAGAAGATGCCCTTTAATATTGTATTACTCTGTTCCAAATTTCGAAGTCCTGTTCAAAGCTACTGCAGAATCACAGCTCTGCTCAGTCTATTAGCTTGCCGTGCATCAAGCAACGACAAAAATGAATGCAGGAAAGAAACAGAGAAGCACATTTTACAACACCAGTTTTTCACATGGCGCTCAGCCTGCCAGGACAGCAATGCTGCTTAAATGGTCAAGTGTGGGGCTGGGCTTTTTTTTCATGCACTTACTTTTCCTGATTACCAACAGCTTGTGGGTTTGTTCTCATCTGCGAGCAAATTAACCTGAATATATCCAAACTTTTGAAATGGGCATTATACTATGCAAAACATAAGCCAAACCAGAATAGCATTGCTGGAGCCATTCCCACCCCTGGATTAGATCAATACAGACAAAACTCTCCATGACTGGAAGCATAATCAGTAAAATTGGCTAAAACATGCTCTTTTGAATAATGCGGGGCCTTTTTTTAAATATCAAAAGTAATTAGGTTTCTGAGTACTACTATTATTGACTGCTTACTTACTATGTTCTCCCCCTCCTCCCCCTTTTTTTTTTAATAGCAATGGGAACAATTCTCATCTCTGTTCGCTATGGTCTCTCTGCTGCAGAGCAACCTGCTCTTGTGCCAGTGCGACTCAAGCTTCAGGCAGCCTCTTGGTGAAGGGCTTCAGGAGGCAGCCAGAAGCCCACAACCTGCTCAAAGCTTTCTTTCTACGACCTGGTGGAAATAAAAATTTCAAACTCCTCACTACATTTAAAATCTTGAAATATCTGACATATATTCATTATGCTGCATTGCAGAAGAAAACCTGGTTTGTTCGCATGGGTTTTAAAATAAAAACTGCCACCTCATTTCAAGGCTTAATTTAAATCACAAACATTCCCATTTTGAAAGTTTTCCCATAAAACCTTATCACTTAGAGTAAAACATATTTAAACAAGATTTTGTTTATAATATTTTAATAGCCATTTTATGAGATTCCCAAGATTGAAAGACATGGTCCCACTAGGACCTGACATAGCTCTGCTGGAATGGGAACACCTGGAAGGATTAACCACTGCTGCTAGAGGATAGCACATTTTTCTTTTTGAAATGCATAGCCCTGTCCTAGCTCATATTCAAAGTCTTTTTCAGAACAACCATCTCCACCCCTCAGGGAGACGCACACCTGTCCCCGTTCGAAGACTTCGAAAATGTTTGCTATCATTACACAATCGCTTTGTTTGTTTTTTCCTTAAAAGCAGCATCATCTATAACAACAAGATTGACTGTGTTTCCAGCCGAACAAGTACAATTCTGTCTTAAGGCTCCCAAGGACTAATAAATAATTTCTGTTCCGTTTCACAATCAGTGCTAAGGATCAACATAGCTCAGAAAACAATTCCAGTAGCTCAGCTAATAAAGCTATATACTGCAACACTGGTTATTTCATGTCGCACATCCATTAAACGTTTCCCGAAAGCTAATTTAGCCATTTGTTGCTGTAAGGAGGCAGAACACCTGGAGCCTGCTCTTGCAAGAGGATTCAACAGGGGTGAAGCCAGTCCAGATGTAAGCTGGGGGAGCAGGTTTTATTCAAGTAAGATTAATTTTGTACAACCAAACCACTGGAGTAACTACTCCTGGCTTTTGATAATGCTGTGGAAATCAGTTCTTTCAGACAAATACAATCTTAAAAGCAATTTTAGAAGAAATCATGTTCATCTTTTAAATTTATCTCATAGCAATTCCAAGCATTTAATTTCTGTTTTAAAACAAGATATCCCCTCTGGTCCTCTGTTACACAAAACATCTCCATGTTCCAGCTCACTCCTGGGCCTCTGCTGCCTGCGAGATAAGTGGCGAAAGGCCCGTGCTATCCAGTGCCTCACAGCCTGCTCCTGCAAAATTTGGGAAACCAGGGAAAGTCACTGCCCAGCATCAATCCTCCCAACCACTGCATGGCCTGGCTCGGCTTTTGCAGCTCTGTACTGTCCTGGCAGGCCACCTCCCCTCAACAGAAAAAAGAAATTGGTTACAAATTGCCTCATATCAAGTTGCACACCAAAAGTGAGAGTATCCTACATCAGCTGGGGGTGCAGCAGTGCAGGTATTTTGCCGTCGGTATCCAACCAGCAGTGCAGCCAACGCAGAAACAGCACTCAAAGCAGGAGAGAGCCCCGACATGGCGAACAAGTTGAAATCCCAAAGCGAACATGGGTATAACCATACATCACTAATACTCTATTATTATAATAATCCATCAATCTCTCTGTGCCTCAGCTTTACAGCACGACTTTTGTTCATACACTTTTCATGCAGCTAATAGCTTTGCTAGGTTCAAAATACAAAAGAGAAAACTAATGCAAGTATTTAAGAAAAGCAGATTAGATCATCACTCGCAAGAGGATAGAGATGGGACAGTACCTCCATCCTTCGCACAGAGTCCTTTAAAACAGAGAGATTAGATATGCTGTTGGGTTTTTTAAGGCAAAATACAATTATCAGGATAAAAAGCCATTCCGGCCATGAGGAAGAAATGCTGGTGCCATGGACAATTACAAAGGAGCTCCCATTTGCCCGCACACGCCAGGGAACTAAACCTGGGAGGATCACAGGCCGGAAAGCAGGCTGTAAACTAGTAGTTAAGAGTAAGTTTTGTTCCCCATTATGAGCCACAGGAGGCAACTCCCAGCTGCTCCGGGGCAAATATAATTATTTGGGGTCTGATTTGCCAAAATAATCAAGAAGCACTAAAGTGTGGGAGGTGGGAACTGAGCAAGGGTCGCACAGGATCCCCAGTCCCTCTGCCCCAAGCTCAACGCAGAGCATGAGCATATCCCACTCACCCTCCTGCTCATCTCTTGGAACAGCAACAGGCATCTATGTGTTGGAGCAGCTCTTTAAAATACGGTGCCAAAATAATACATATTTTCAGGGATGCTCCAGCCACATATAAGCAGAAACATAAGCACAACAAAATGTATTTCCTTGCCATGCCATGCAAAACCACCATAATCTATATTTCAGAAAGTCTCTTCAAAGCACTTTGTCATATATTGTTAGACACATTATTTTATACAGCCCCAGAAACTGATGAGAGGCAAGAAAATAAAGATCACTTGTTAAAAGCAGTCCTTGCAGCAGAATCTCTCCCGTTTAATAAAAAATACTAATTCCCCTGCCTCTAACAGAGGTCAAAAAAGTACCAGCAGAAGATGTGCCTCTAGCCTGCAGCTTCTCTCACTGTTCAGCATCTCTGAGCACGTATATCCTGACTTGCTCAAGAGGTCTCACAGAGGCATCTCAACGAGTGAAACCCTTCAGTGTCATTTCAAAACACCCCCAGGAAAATCTGACATCCCCTTTTCCCAGACAGAAGCCCCAGTGAGCTGTTGACTGACAGCCTGTACCAGGTTACCAGCACGCCATGAAGCTCTCAAACACATCCCTCCACCAACGCACGCAGGCATTCCCTCTCTTTCTGTATTGTGGCAACAAACCTCACTGAGTGCACATGTGTATGTGCCCAGAGACAGCCACCGCTAATGTCATCCCGAAGCTGAAGGACATGCACCATCCCACCTGGGAAAGCCCTGAACCAGCAGTGACAGCAACTGGTCCGACTGCCAGCCCGCAGCCACTTCTCACCTACACCCCAAACGTAGGCGATTTTGGGTGGGCGCCGGGGCAGAGTGCAGCTTGGCCATCACAAAAGTGGGTTTTAAGCATTACTCACACATTCAGACTTCACGTTCAGTTGTTTACTTATTGCCAGCTACCTAAAGTGATGGAGAAGAGCTTCAGCTCCTAATGGCCCAAATTATAGCACTAATAATAGTCTGTATTGAACCGAATGTATGTTTTTCATCAATACTCATGCACATGAGTAGGAAATTAATTTCCCATTGACATTTCTTTCATAACAAAGCCAAATCATTCGGATGCTCACTCAAAGGCAGCAAATAGTGGAGGTATTTAAAAATGTCCTTTAGCTTCTGCTTTTTAGGCCATTATTTTGCTCTGCTCTGATGATGATAAATCTATACATTAAATTAAGAAATCACATTTGACTCAATCTAGTTCTGTTTCTTGTAATACTAATGGATTTTGTAATCCTCCTAGCTCAACAGATGAACTAACTTTTGGAAGGAGGTCAACTTCTTTCATTTCTTATTCAACCCCTCTCCGGATCTGCCTACATTTGAAGTTATTCAGGAAGAGTGAATCCCATCATCTCTGGCATGGTCACCCCCACCTGAAATACCGGTGCCTCGCTCCTCTCCCAAACCATGTTCAGTGAAGCAACAATGAGGCATCCTCCTTGTCAACTGCAAGAGAGTTATCTCAAGCATCTGGATATATTTTTTTGAATCATAAAACATTTACTATTATCTCATTGGCGAGCATATTGGAAAGCGGTGCATTTTTCTGCACCAGTCTCTGCCTGAACACAGCCCAACCTCGCTTTGTCAATCCGTTTA